GCGGGTGGGCCAGACTCCTCTGGTCTGCCACAATTTTTGGCTTGTAATAAGTTCACTTATATAGCAATATTTTCACTGCTGTTGTCCCAAAGTTGTAAGTGAATGATAGACGTTATCCATCCTGAAACATGATGATTCCATCTCAGTTTCCGGGCAGATGTTGACTCTGCGTAATTGGTGTTAGCAAATGTCGCAAGCCTTGTCTTGACTGCCGTACTTACTTATTTACAGTACTTCATTTATACCCTGCCTTCCTCCCCCTCCGGGGACTTCCTTCTTAATATTGTAAACATTTTCTTAATTTGAAAGAGCCATTGTCCCTGATTAATGTAAACACATTGTTTTTCCCTCAAAAGTTCAACAGTTAATCAATGTCAAAGTTCTTGTCAGTGTCAGCAGTTCAGCAACTTTTAATTACAGTTCCTGAATCTAATGGTTGATTCTGCCATTGCAGGACTTAATTCCTTACAATGGCATCTTCGGCCAAATTATTTATTTGTTTGTTTGTTTACTGCATTTATATGCCGCCCTTCTCACCCTGAAGGGGACTCAGAGCGGCTTACAAGTAAAATGTAAAATGTAAATACAATATATTATATTATTACCATGGCACAATATTAATATTAATATTATATATTATTGCTAGCTGTCCCCTGCCACACATTGCTGTGGCCCACATGGGGATTCTGTGTGAGAGGTTTGGCCCAATTCTATAGTTGGTGGGGTTCAGAATGCTCTGCGATTGTAGGTGTACTATAAATCACAGCAACTACAACTCCCAAATGTCAAGAGTCTATTTTCCCCAAACTCCACATTTGGGCATATTGTGTATTTGTGTAGGGTTTGGTCCAGATCCATCAATGTTTGAGTCCACAGTGATCTCGGAATTTAGGTGAACTACAACTCCAAAACCCACCAAACCTTTCAAGTATTTTCTGTTCGTTATGGGAGAACTGTGTGCCAAGTTTGGTCCAATTCCATCGTTGGTGGAGTTCAGAATGCTTTTTGATTGTAGGTGAACTGTAAATCCCAGCAACTACCAATCCCAAAGGGCAAAATCAATTTTTTTTGAGTGAAGGACATACATTGGGATGTTAGGTGTCTTGTGTCCAAATTTGGTGTCAATTCATCCAGTGGTTTTTGAGTTCTGTTAATCCCACAAATGAACATGATTTTTTTATTTATATAGATATTGTACTATAAAACAATTATACTGTAATATTATTAGTAATATTACATTTAATATTAATATATAACCATATATTAACCTTTAAGGCGGATGGGCCAGACTCCTCAGGTCTGCCACAATTTTTGGCTTGTAATAAGTTCACTTATATAGCAATATTTTTGCTGATGTTGTCCCACAATTATGTACTAACCTTTAAGGCCTTACATGATCTAGGGCCGGCGTACCTGAGGGCCCGCTTATCCCCCTACCAACCCCAGAGATTACTCCGGTCTGAAGACCAAAACCTGCTTGCAGTCCCTAACATCCGGACCTATCATTTGTCCTCTACTAGCCAGAGAGCCTTCTCAGTTGTGGCCCCTTATTTATGGAATGCCTTGCCGGTTGAAACTCGGAACCATCCGAGATCTACTTGCTTTCCGGAAAGCCTGTAAACCTTTTCTTTTCCGGCAAGCTTTTGATGGGTGAACAACCCGGACTATGCCTGTTCTTGCGGCCTATTGTTATTGTTATGGTCATTTTAAAGCTAATTGTACTGTTTTAATCTGTTTCTGTAAACCGCTCCGAGCCAAATTGGGAGTAGCGGTATACAAGTTGAATAAAATAAATAAATAAATAAAATAACATATTATTAGTAGTAGTAGTATATTGTATTACATTATAATATTATCAATATTATATGTATATACAATATATTTATTACATTACATTACATTACATTATAAGCACAGTGCAGGCGACAAGATGGAACTGCCTTCCTGGCCCCTCTCTTCATAGAATCATAGAATCAAAGAGTTGGAAGAGACCTCATGGGCCATCCAGTCCAACCCCATTCTGCCAAGAAGCAGGAATATTGCATTCAAATCACCCCTGACAGATGGCCATCCAGCCCCTGTTTCAAAGCTTCCAAAGAAGGAGCCTCCACCACACTCCGGGGCAGAGAGTTCCACTGCTGAACGGCTCTCACAGTCAGGAAGTTCTTCCTCATGTTCAGATGGAATCTCCTCTCTTGTAGTTTGAATAAGACCTGCCCATAATGCCCTCCCTGCTTGTGTGCCCGGTCGGTCCTTGTGCTGACCAGTCCCTCCTCCTTTCCTCCCAGGCTGAGCCCCCCCTTTGCGAGGGTGGGGGAGTCGGGCCCCCCGGTGCGGACGGCCAAGGCGGAGCGGAGGCACCAGCAGCGGCTGCGCATGCAGAGCCCGGAGCAGCCTTCGCCTCCTGGGTCCGGCGAAGAGGAGGCGCTCTCCCCGGCCGAGCGGAGGGCCCTGGAGGCCGAGAAGAGGGCCATGTGGAGGGCCGCGCGGTAGGGCCCCGATCCCAGCCACCAGGGATCTCTTTCGGGAGGGGGGGGTGGTCTTCTGAGCGCGCCTGACCCACTCTCTGCCTTCCCCAGGATGAAGTCCCTGGAGCAGGACGCACTGAAGGCCCAGATGGTCATCGCCAAGTCCAAGGAGGGCCGCAAGCGGGGGACCCTGGAGCAGCTGGCCGAGTCCCCCTCGCCCGCCCCCACCCCCTCCCCAACGCCCCCCGAGGGTAACTAACGCCTTGCCCCGCCCTGTGAGGCCCCCCATGGAAAGGGGTCTGTCTGGCTGCGTGAGGTGGGAGGGCATGCCACTCATGGAGACCCCTCCGCTCTTCCTTTTGCAGAGTGCAGCTCCCGGATCGTGGCCTCCCCTGGACGCCTGGTAGGAAGGGGATCTCCTCGGGGGGGGGTGTGTGGAATGGGGGTCACGTGTCAGGCATCATGAGCCCCACTTCCGAATTAAGGGCTCACTGGGAGGGAATGGGGGAAAGCAGGGGAGACCCTGAATCCTTGAGGTGGGTCCTTCCGCAACCAAGCCCCTTCCTCTCTCCACTGTGTGCTGCTCCCTTTCCTCTTTTCCCTGCGTTTGCTCACTCTCTCTTTCTCCCTCTCTCTTTCTCTCTCTCTCTCCCAAAATGCTCGCTGTCCGTGCCCCCCCTTCCTCTTCTCCCTCCCTCGGGCCCTTCTCAGTCTGTACCCGAAAAGAAGTTTCTCTACAGAGAATTTGCGGCCATCCCTTCCTCCAAACCTGTTTATGACATCCAGGTACCGGCTGCATGTCCTGCGCGCTCCTTGGCTGGAGCGGGGTGGGGGTCCCCTCCTCCTCCCCCTCCTCCTCCCCCTTCGTGTCCATCCCTCTGCCCATCCGTTCGGACAGCTCTGGCCAGGTGGGGCTGGGCAATATGGGGAAGGGTCTGCTGAAACACAGACCTCTTCCTGCCCCATGCCAGGGAGGGTGAAAAGCCCTCTTCCCCTATCTTGTGACAATTGTGCATTTGCATCTTGGGTGTTGTGTGTGGTTTCCGGGCTGTATGGCCAATGTGTTCTAGCAGCATTTTCTCCTGACGTTTTGCCTGTATCTTAAGATGTCAGGAGCAAATCCTGCTAGAACACATTGGCCATGCAGCCAGGAAAACACAACACCCCAGTGCTTCCAGCCGTGAAAGCTAGGCCTGTTCGATGCATGGTTCTAAATGGTTCTAAAGCACTTACAAAACTTAAGTTCTGGTGGTGAAAATTTCAGAACTCTAACAAAACTCTCAAAGATTCATTATAAATGGCAGTTCCTGATGGGTTCTGTCATTAAAATCACCAATAATGAAATAATAAAATTTTGAGAGTTTTGTTAGAGTTCTGAAATTTTCACCACCAGAACTTTAGTTTTGTAAGTGCTTTAGAACCATTTAGAACTCTTTCAAAATTTAATTATTATTTCATTATTGGCCATTTTTATGACAGAGAAACTGCCATTTATAATGAAATTTTGAGAGTTTTGTTAGAGTTCTGAAATTTTCACCACCAGAACTTTAGTTTTGTAAGTGCTTTAGAACCATTTAGAACTCTTTCAGAATTTAATTATTATTTCATTATTGGCAATTTTTATGACAGAACCCATCAGGAACTGCCATTTATAATGAAACTTTGAGAGTTTTGTTAGAGTTCTGAAATTTTCACCACCAGAACTTTAGTTTTGTAAGTACTTTAGAACCATTTAGAACCATGGATTGACCAGGCCTAGTTTGACAATATGTTGCTGGGACAGTCGTCCCTCCGCGACCGCTCCCTCTCCAATCTTCCTTCCTTTCTATGCTTGCCCTTTTCCTTACTTCTGAGTGACCACCTGGGTTGACCCCAGCATGCCCCTCTCTCCATGTTTCTGTATTTCTGTTGGGGGAATGTGCTGGGGAGGGGTCTGTTCTTTCCATGCCGTTTGGCAGCATCCGGCCAGACCCCTCCCCTTTCCCCCTGCCCTGCTCTTCTTCCACTCTTCCCCCACTTCTCCAGTTCCTTGCTTGTTTTGGGCACTCCAGTTTGTGTTGGCTCACAATGGGGGGGGGGGGGGGGGCATTGTGAAGCCTCCAGATGACCAGCCCTTTGTGCCCCCCCCCCCCTCCAAATATCTGCTGCTCTTCCAGACGCCGGACCTTGGGGACACCTGCAGATCCCTCCTGAACAACTGCAGCAGCAGCAGCAGCCCAGGTGAGCAATAGAGTTGTGCAAATGATTCGTAAAAAAAAATGGAAGAATTCGGAAGTTTCGTAAGTCGGAAGTCTTTTTGAAGTGTTAGCATGGCCCACTCCAAAAACTTAAGAACCTATGTCAAGTGGTCTAAATCTTCCCACCATCATGTTCTCCAATTTTAGCTGTAGCGCCACTCAGGTGTAAAGCTACGTTTCCCCAAATGCGAGGTCTCTCCCTGCAAGAGTTGCTGGTCTCGGCCCTCTTCACTGAAGGGTAGTCAGTCAGCATGCACACAACATTTAAGAAAATGCTCTTTTGGGGATATTATAAAATTGAAATTAAATGTATAAGAATGGCAAGTAAATTGAAACCCTCCACACTATTTACTTCTGATTCTGATTATTGCAGACATGATTACCAGTAGACATTATGGGTGCAAAATCCAGCCAAACGTTTTGTGAAATGTTGTGAGAAGGGGGCCTAGATCAGCACCTCTTATAATGATGATGATGATGATTTATTTAATTATTTTTGCTTTTAATGTATTTTATGTATGATTGCTTTTAATATATGATTGCTTTTAATGTATTTTATGTATTAATGTGTTTTATGGTGTGATGTTTTAAACTACTGTTTTTGAATCATGTTGTAAACCGGCCTGAGTCCCTCTCTAGAGGTCGAGAAGATTTTATTTAGAGCTTTTATAACTCGTTCTTCTCGATCTCCGAAGAGAGACTCAGGCCGGTTCACAACAGGAGATTCATAGACAATAGTATAAAAACATCACAATCTCATAACACATTAGTACATAAAATACATTAAAATACAGTCCTATATGCTAGGACTGTGTGATGATAATACATCACACAGTCCTAGCATATAGATCTCATTTGCTGTGACATACTGTGCTTTTGTGTCAGTAATAATAATAATTATAATGGTGGTGGTGGTGGTCCCAGTGGTGATGGGCATACTGGGTGCAGTGCCTAAAGACCTTGGCCTGCACTTAAACACAATTGGCACTGACAAAATTACCAACCACTTTGAGTCCCCCTGGGGGTGAGAAAAGCGGTATATAAATACTGTAAATAAGTAATAAATAATAATAAATCTGCCAGTTGCAAAAGGCCACCTTTCTGGGATCAG